TCGCTGGACGAGCCGACGAAGCTCTTTGGCAGCAAGCGGTCCGTGAGGAACTGCAGTCGCTAGCGGACAACCATGCTTGGCGATTGGTGAGATGCCCTGCTGGTGTGGTTCCGCTCAAATCGAAATGGGTCTTCCGAATCAAGCCGGACGAGCATGGCGAACCGATCCGTTGCAAGGCGCGCTTGGTGGCGAAGGGATTCCAACAGAAGCCCGGAGTCGACTACAACGAAACATATTCCCCCGTAGCAAAGTTAGCCACGATACGAACCGTTCTTGCTGTAGCAACCCACCGAAGGATGCACGTTCACCAACTCGATGTGAAGACCGCATTCCTCTACGGTGAGCTTGAAGAAGACGTCTACATGGCCATACCCGAAGGAGTTGCAGCACCGCCGAGCTTCGTTTGCAAGCTGGATCGATCGCTGTACGGACTCAAGCAAAGCCCCCGCTGTTGGAACAACAAGCTAAACGACCTTCTACTGGATTTCGGCTTTACCCGTTCCCGGCATGATTACTGTCTATATACCAGGATCGACGATCGAGGGGGGGTATACATAATCATCTACGTGGACGATTTGCTCATTGCTGGCGATCGACTGGACCTGGTGAAGGAGATCAAGCGTGCTCTTTCCAAGAAGCTCCAGATGACGGATTGCAGCGTGGTTAATCATTTCCTTGGAATGAAGATCCGATACGACCGCGCCACCGGATGCATGTACCTGGCGCAAGAAGCTGCTGTGGACCGTGTGCTGACGAAGTTCGGCATGCAAGACTGTAACCATGTCAAAACCCCAATGGAGAAAGGCTGTTTCCTGCCACCACAAGCTGCGAATCCTGTGTCGCATCAATACCGTCAATTGCTGGGCAGCCTGATGTATACGATGCTGTGTGTTCGACCGGACATATGCTACGCTGTTGGATACCTAGGGCGCTTCCAAGTTCAACCTGATGAGGCCCACTGGCAAGCCCTGAAGAGAGTGGTCCGTTACGTGAAGGGAACGAAGAACTTGAAGCTCCAGTACAAGCAAAACGACGACGCCGAGGCACTTGTCGGGTACGCAGACGCTGACTGGGCATCGGATGCTGAGGATAGGAAATCCGTTAGTGGCTTCGTCTTTAAGGTCTTTGGGAACACCGTGTCTTGGGCAAGCCGCAAGCAACAAACCGTTGCACTGTCGTCGTGTGAAGCCGAGTATGCAGCTTTAAGTTCCGCGGCCTCCGAAGGGCTGTGGCTGCACGGAATCCTTGAAGACCTGAAGCAAGTTCGACCGGACACGGCATTCAAGGTGTACGAAGACAACCGTGGGTGCATTGCAATGGCCACAAACACCGAAAGCAAGCGTGTCAAGCACATCGATGTAAAGCACCATTTTTTGCGCGACCATGTGGCACAAGGAAGACTTCAAATCGAAGCAATTGATACAGCAAACCAAATAGCGGACACGTTCACCAAGCCCCTGGAACCTGGACGTTTCCGCGAACTGAGGACCCTCCTAGGACTGACCGATTCAGGGGGGGTGTTGGAGTAAATCGGTAACGCAGTGTGCTGATCACCTCCTTGGAGACCGAACGTCACCCCTAGCAACCTAAGTTTTCTTAAATAAACAACGGTGAAAAACTTTTCATTCCTGTTCAAGACTCCACTCAAGCTAGTCGTTAAATAAAATCCATTCTACTTTTAAACTTTGCTGTTCCGGTTCTTTCTAACAATCAAGAAAAAATATAGTTAAAATATTCTCATAGAGCTGGGGAGTTTTTTTTCTTCAAATCTATGATTGTATCAAAAATGTTTCAAGATAATGTTGGCAAACTTCGGAATGTCTCGAAAATGTTACAGAATGTTATAACCACCAAGGTATTAAATAACCATTTCAAAGCATTGGTCGCTCTCATTCCTGTCCGTGACTTACAAGGTACTCGAAGTGTGCGATAATTCAAAGTGTAAGAGTGTTAATTGTTAAAGTTAAAAAAGGTGTATATAATTATTCTTTTTGTAGTGCTTTCTATCAGTTAGTCTATAGTTGGACGTGGTAGTATAAACCTTAATATTACGGGCAGTTACAGTAGTAGTACGTAAGAGATATATATAGCCTAATTGTACCCTTTGTTAAACACAGTTAGCTATTGTCATCCGTATTCAAAGCCGTCAGCGTCTGGTGTCAACGTGGTAACAACATTTATTCCGCTCCGATGGAAGTCGAAGGTGGTGTTGATTTGTTGAGTTGAAAACTCGGCTGAGAGTGTGTTCATTCCATCTGCTGGACAGATACCTGCTGCCAGTTTGGGATGCGGGTAAAACCTGCATCAAGGCTTCCGTTGTTTCATTCTACTTCCTCGCTCCATTTAAAATATTGGTAATTATAATGAAGTTCACATTTTACAGTCCATGAACCATGTTCCCGTTTTCGAGAACAAGGTTCACGGTACCAATCACAACGCATGAACATAAATCACGTTTGCCAGAACTAGATCATGATTTTCCGAACAGAGTTCATGATCATATGACTTTTGTTGCCTTTGCAAGCGTCACGTTTATTTTGTGGAACAATGTTCACGATTTCATGATTTTTATTCATGGTGTACTTTCGTAAACGAAAAATTTACTAGTCCCAAAAATCGTGACTGGAGGTTGATGCATTTTGGAACGGATTTTTTCCAGTGCGGAAGGATTGTATATATTCCACAGCAACAGAGTAGGCCGAGTGCTAGACGACGCACGTCGGTATCCTTGAGAGACGTCGATATTCCGTTGACATTTTGGGAAGTAAGTTCGGTGAAATCAGACTGAAGGAGAACGTATTGCGGCCATTTTCCCGGCGCCATCTTGGAAGCTGACCAGACAACACGCAACCGCCAACAATACAGCCCGTCTGCCATCACCCACCCACGGGCCGTGACCATCACCCACTGTTCAGAAGCCGCCAAGACGTTTCAATTATCACCTGCCGCCAACACCACCAATGCCAGCCACCGAAGCCATCGTTCACCACCAACACCACTCCAGAAAAAACCGCAAGTAGTACACCCATAAAGATGTCTCTCTCTCTCTCTTTCTTTTGAAACAAAAGCCCCAGTATGGGCCAATAAAAACAAATCAGGCATGTAATGAGGAACTACACACCAAATTTAAATTTTCATTATCAGTAAAACGAATTGGTGGATCATGATCAGCAATCCAATGCTTTACTGAAAAACAGCAAACGATATTTTTACCGAAAAAATCAGCTAACATAAACTAACACCCAGTCAAAGAGCTGTCAAACTGTTAGCATCACAGTCGCAAGTATTTTTACATTCGTACACCACCGGTCAAACCGCAGGAGGAGGAAGAGGTAAAAAAACTACAAATAAATAAATTATACAGGTAAGAACACTGGCTCGGACTCTGGTTATATTTAATAAATGATACTTGGCGAGAGTCTGGCGATTTTATCTTTATTATTCGTTTATTTGTATGAACGATCTTTTACAGAAGCTGGAAGCTCATATAGTGAAAACAATTTCAATTTACTGAATTTAATAGTTTAATCAGAAAAATGCTGCCAAATGTCAGAATTTTGAATTGCTGAAAGATCAGTAAAGAAATAAAGCTGATTTTTAGTAGAAGGTTGTGATTTTGACAGAAGATGGAATTGCTGAAAAATTCAGCAGCATTATTTTGCTGGAACGTTTGCTGATCTTTCATCAAGTCTAAAATAAGCAAAATTTTTGGTGTGTACTACCTTTCTATCAAGCAAGCATTCCCAAAGGTAATTTATATACACCGTTCTCGTTCTGCATGATTCCGTATCCAAAAAAGGGAACCCAGGCCGCGACCTTTTAAATCCGCTGTACCTTAGATATTTTCACTATGGTGTTTTGATTGATAACAGGACCCTTTACCTGGAAAAGTCATTTGTGGACGAAATTATAGCTCTAACTAAAATGAATGTTCTGTTGACGTTGTGTGAGAGTGCTCATTGAGTATTAGCGACCCAGTGCTCAGCATAACCTTACCCGGTTTCCCTTCGGAGCAGCTAAGAGACTACAGTTACTTACTAGGCAATTCCACGCCAAATGACGAATCGTAAAATCTAGACCGGCTCCGACTTGCATCAAACTTTTGTTTGTGAGCTACATTACAAAGCGGCGTCGGTGGTGTAGTGGTAAGCGTGATTACCTCTCTGGGTTCAATCCCAGTCGGCGCCGCCGGGATGTACTGGGGTATAACATCTCTGATCACGCCTTCCTTCGGGAAGTAAATCCGTTGGTTCCCGGTTCATGAGTTGATGGGTCGATAGGTAGGCTCCAAGTGTGGGAGCTGCCTCCCTGGAGTCGGTAGCATGGGTGCTCAGCACGGAAAACAAGATCGACGGAAAACAAATAATTTCATTGTATAATTTTCCTAGAAAAACTTTATCTCTATAACTTTGTCTCTGAGGTCATTTCGATCAAAAGTGCCATTTCCGTGCTAAAATTTTTAGAAAAATTTCAAATCCGTTATTTCGACAAATTTTAAGATTCAAAATGACCGAATTTTAGCAACAATGTGAATGATTTAAGTGTGCAAAATTTGCAATGCTTCGCGACATGAACAGACTTTAAAATTTGGCTGCTGGAAGTTTTTTAAAAATAATTTCGTAATTTTTGTGTTAGCTTATTTTTCAATTGTTTCCTCGAATGCATTGCGTCTAGAAAATAGTCTCGTGAAGCAATTATACAAAAATGTGCATTCTAGAAATACTTGCTTCTATGAAACATATGCAGAAAATGTAATAAATCAAACTTTTACATTGAATGAAAGAAGAAAATTGTTTTACATGTACATAATGCTATGTTACAAGGGTGTAAGAAAAACAATTCATCCGAAGACACTGTTAAGTCATAAAACAGATTTAGGTTAGGTGGCCGCAAATTAATTAAGCTCGTCATTTGGGACTTTCCAATCGCAGTGCGCTGGGCGGTGTGTATAAAGCTGCTTCTCATTCACTCGGTTAGGCACAGTCCGCGAACAGTCCTCGTCCGATTCAGATCAACCAGGAGGTTTGCAGCACTCAATAGTTTCAGCAAGCGTCTGTTTTTGCTTTGCAAAGTCAACCAAATTTTACAATGAAGGCTTTCGTAAGTAGTTTCGAGTGATTAAGTGTTTTGATAGTGACAATAAGGACTCTCAAGTGAAAATCTAGTGAATCAGTTACTGATTGAAAGTTGTACTTTTCTGTTGTTCTTCCCAATCCTTTAGGTGTTGGGATCAGTGCTGCTCATGGCTGCGGTCTGCTCCGGATCGTACATTCCTGCCGATACCCCTGAAGTCGCCGCTGCCAAGGCTGCTCATTTCGCTGCCCACGCCCACGTCGCTGCAGGTGCCGGTCCAGTTGGCCACCATTGGGATCACTATGATGCACCAGCTCAGAAATGGCACGGACCCATCCACATCCCGGTGATCCACAAGGGTGTCCCAGTTGAAACCCCAGAAGTTCAGCACGCCAAGGCTTTCCACGCTGCCGCTTACGCTAAGGTTTCCTCCGGATATGCTCACCATGCCCCCGCTGATTATGTCCATGCCCCAGCCCACCACGAAGCCGGAGCCTGGCATGGACCTCAGCACATCCCAGTGATCCACAACGGTGTCCCAGTTGAAACCCCAGAGGTCCAGCACGCCAAGGCCTTCCACCTGAATGCACTGCATAACGCTGGTGCGCACTCCGGATCAGCTCAATGGGCTGCTCAAGGGCATGGACATGAGGATGATGGCTCCTACAAGCCACACTTGTACGAGGCCGAGCACTATTAAGACACATTTCCACGAATGCCAAACAACCTTAGGAACTATCCAAATGCAACATTTTCATCACTCTGTCCATGCCTGATGCTTCGCGACTATTGTAAAAAACGTTTCAAACACCACGTGCATCAAATCCGCTCAACTATTGAGTGCCAAGTAGAATTGTCAAAACAAAGGAAGAGTGCTCCCACTGCCATCACACCATAACAACATACGGGTGACAATCTTCGAGTCAACATCGTGATCGAAGTAGGCCACGCCTTTAGTCACCAGTGGGAGTAGCTTCAAACGAATGCCTAGAAACGTCAGATCGATCGAAGACTACTTAGATCCAAGTCTGGAAAATATTAAGAGCAACAACAACAACAACCTCATGACGAAAGAAAAGGAGAATGGGAGAAATGTGAAAACACACTCTGTAACGATTTTGTAACTCTTCCTTTACGCACAGTGTACGCAATCTCTGTAAATTATCTTGTTTATTAAAAGACTGTTAATGCAAAAGATTTAAAGAATCTCAAACTATGTGCTTTTTGAATAGAGAAATTACAAAAGTTGTCGATGACATTTCTCGGGGCGACTATCCCATCAATCCCCTTTTTTTTATTATTAGAGTCAATTTACATCTAATGGTGCATTCATGTTTGACTAAATAGCGGCACCGGTGGTGTAGGGGTAAGCGTGATTGCCTCTCACCCCAAATGGCCTGGGTTCAATCCCAGTTGGCGCAGCTGGGTTTTTCTGAGGCATAAAATCTCTGATCACGTCTTTCTTTGGAAGGGAAGTAAAGCCGTTGGTCCTCTATTCATGAGTTGGTGGGTCGATAGGTAGGGTCCAGGTGTGGGAGCTGTCTCCCTGCCGTCGGTACATTGGTACTCAGTACGGAAAACAAGATCGAACATCACATTTTTAACTATTTTTGTATCACCATCGATGATTTTAAAAAGGATTTATGATCAGAGACGACATATTTGTCATGTCAACTATAAATAATGTAACCAAAATCAGATTTATATTACTTTACTGAAATCTGTTATTTTACTTAGATATTTACTTTACTGAAATCTGTTTTCAAAACATCCTGATCAACGTGCCATTTTGGAAAAATATTTGAGGCACTACATTTGAAATCTTTGAATAGCGTAATTGACTTCAGAGAAAGCTGGCATCACAACTGTTGACGTTAGCAAACAGGGATGCCAGATTTGAAAACATGTCTTTTCTTGAAGACATTTGAAATTATGTAAAGACATGTTTGGAAATTGAAGAAGACATTCATAGATTTTTCTAATTGGGAGTAAATAAAGATTTTGGCTGATCATTTTTCTAAATTAAATATCCAGATTTTTTCAGACTGCATCGGAAAATTTCGAGATTTTAAGTAAAAAAATGTGATATTTTGTTCAAAACATCAACTCAAGTGCCATAGTAATCACTTTAAAACACCGCTTAAATACGCAAAAAAAAAACACATCAAACCCAAATCACGACATTTTTGCAGCGGTACCTTACCTTACCTTACCAATCAGACTAAGGCCTTGTTGTCCTCTGCTGTCCGAAGAAGTCGTCTCCACTCTACTCGATCCATGGCCATTCGCCAACCTCGTAGTCTGCGAAGGGTCCGCAAGTCACCTTCTACTTCATAGATTAACCTATCGCAGCTCGGGAAGCCGAGCGATTTGCAGTTCCATGTTACGAGTTTCAATCGTATTTTTCGTCGCGTAGGTCTGTGCCGATTGTTCCGATCCGTATTTCTTTCTTCGGTATTTGCAGCTTTGTTTTTTTCCAGGGCGGCTTGTTGTGCCTGCCCCAACCCCTGTCTCGCCGGGGGACCATCGTGCACAGCCCTGTTTAGAGTCCCACGCTGGCACTAGGACGGTGATCAGCCGCTCCTAACATGGAGAACAGACGCCGTTTTGAGCCACACCTCCATGGTGAACAGACGCTCGGGTTTGGTGAAGCATTTCCTCTATCACCGTACTATGGCTACCGCGCCAGTGTTCGTGTCGCACCTCTTCACTTTGCTATTGCCGGACTGGCAACATTGCCCAGGCTACGCAACCCAGCTGTGTCCATGTTTCAGCTGGTAGTCTTTTGTTATCATATGACTCGGGGAGGCATGAAGTAGGAACTTGTGAGGACCAGGGCTAGGTATTCCGCTCCTTCCAGGTTGTCAACTCACCGTTTTGTAGCCTACCTACTTCAATCTAAAGAAGCCAGGCATCTTCCTACTGCTCCCTGTCCTTTAATCTGCCATAACTCAAAAGGTATTCCATGAAAATTAAAACACAGACCCACATAAAGGGTGTCCCACATCAAATTGCATCAAGGAAAAAACGCTGTAGAAAATTACCATTAGTAAGCTTTTGGCATATTTATTTCATTCAACTTCAATACCACAACCATACGCTCGCACCTTACACACTCATTTTTTATCGCTGGAAACCAGCAATATTTTGCTGGATTTTTCCGAGCTGTAAGTTCAGCAATCTATCCAGCAAAATATTATTGCTGGACGACCAGCAATTTAGGCCAATGTCAAATTGACAGCACTTTACTGATTATCCAGCAAAACGGAACATCAATCATTTTGCTGGAAGAGCAGCAAATCTCGATTGTTGTTTTCTTAAAGAGGCATTATTGGAATAAATATTTTATTACACTTTTATGTAGTTGTATATAGTAATTTATTAAATGTGACTGCACTTCTTTAAAAAATCATGTCTTGAAGAAGCTATGATGGGCCATCCTGGGTGAGTTATTGTTGTTGTTGTTTCTTTATTAAGGAGAAGGTTTGCGAATGAAGAAAACTGTAAATTTCAGAGAAAAACGAAAGTTTTTCAACTTAATTCAGGTTGCTAAGGTAGTTTAGTATACTTACTTCATGACAAAAGCTCTTTTTATATAATATCCATGATATTTTGTGAGTCGAACACTTTGAACATAAAAATAATCATAAATCGTCAAGGTACGAAGGATAGATTTTGGCCTGATTTTGACGTTTCATACAGTTTACTGGAACGTTCAGCAAAATATTTCATTTTACTGATTTTTCAGTTTAAGTTAGTTTTGCTGGATGCGATTCAGCAATTCATTTTGCTGGAACAGGATTTCAAAATTTGGTGTGTACGCTTAACTCCACTCATTAGGTTCTATACAACATCTGACTGCAGCTTCTTCTGTACGAAAACCCACTTTTTCTTCATGTCTTCCTCAGATTTGACCCCCTTAGAATGCTCCCGTAGTGCCTGCTTCATAATAGCCCTGTATTTTTCGATGGACCTTAGTTCCGATGCATAGGGGGGGTCCTTGAGTACGAAAGTGACCCCGTTGGCTTCGTACCACTCCAGGACAACATTTGAATAGTGGCACGAAGCTAGATCCGGCCAGAAGATCGTTGGGCCCTCGTGTTGCTTCAACAAAGGAAGCAGACGCTTCTGTAGACACTCCTTGAGATAGATCTCCCCGTTTACAGTCCCGGTAGTGACGAACGGCGCACTCCGTGTGCCACATGAGCAGATCGCTTGCCAAATCATGTATTTCTTTGCAAACTTTGAAAGTTTCTGCTTCCTTACTTCCTCCGGAACATCAAACTTGTGCTGAGTGGTGAAGAACAGTAGCTCCGGAAGCTGCCGGAAGTCCGCCTTGACGTAAGTCTCATCATCCATGATGAGACAATGAGACTTCGTCAGCATCTGGGTGTACAGTTTCCGGGCCCGTGACTTTCCCACCGTATTTTACCGTTCATCACGATTTGGAGCCTTCTGCACTTTGTACGTATGCAATCCCTCCCGGTCCTTGGCTCTCTGAACGAAAGACTTGGACATATTCGACTTTTTGGCCACATCCCTGACCGAAGCATTGGGATTCCGCTTAAACGCTTTCACGACACGCTTGTGATCCTGATCACTAATAGAACATCCATTCTGACCGCATTTCTCCTTCCGTTCGATGCTCAGAGTTTCGTAGTAACGTTTAATCACACGACTCACCGTTGACTGCACGATTCCGAGTTATTTTCCGATGTACCGATGAGAGATTTGAGGATTTTCCATGTGCTTGCGCCAAATCAATTCGCGACGTAGCTTTTCGACGCCATTTTTTCCAACCTTTAAAAAACTGACAGCGATAAAAATACAGTGTAAACAATACACTCTAAACTACTTCCACCCAAATTTTCAAGAGAAAATACCCAATGGGTAATTTTCTAAAGCGTTTTTTCCGTGATGCAATTTGGTAAGGGACATCCTTTATCATTCATAAATTATCTTATTTATCTTCCATACATGCGGAATTGACCATTTTTGCCTCATTTTTTGTTTTATTGTCTTTAAATAAGTAAGATATTCACATGAAATGAATAAAAATCCTAATTCAAAACACATAAATAAAAATACACGGTCAAAAATCAGAATCGACAAGCAATTCCTGCTTGTAGATTTGATACTTTATAATATAAATTTAAGATACGAACCAGCTCAGCACTGAAAGTCTCTATAATGAAGCAAGAAGAAGGCGAATACAAAGTAACACCAATTCATTTAATTATGTTGAGTAGACACTACTAGACAAACAAAAACAGTCCCACAAAGGTTATATAAACTGCTTTAAAGCATGTGCGTTGCTTGGTATAGAACTTTACTAATCTAAATAAATTCCATTTAAAACGATCTAAATTTGCAAAACATCTATCAGCGATTTAAAAAAAATGCACCCATTAAGGTCCAATAAACCCCCTATTATGGATTAAGCCACCGACCGCCGGCACATGTTGCCCGCTCATAAACAGTAACAACGAAAAATAGAAGCAATAAAAAAAAAAATCGAAAGTTCAGCGCACAGTGCGCAATCCATTTAGAACCCAACCCCGACTGACGTGACGCGGCGGTTCGCCACGGGTAATGGAACAATAAAATTAGAACGTTCAACGATCGGTATCAGAGAAACCCTGCCTTGCTGCTGACTGCCGTATGAAGTGATCCTTGGGTGGGCCTTTCTCTTGTGCCTACATTCTGGAAAATTCTACCTCCCTACGACCGTCGTCGGATGGATTGATGATTGCCACCGGACCCGGCAGTCGATA